AAAGCCATCTGACCCCTGTATCCCATGAAGGGAATCAAAAATAAAACAGAGTGACACATATCCACCTCTGACGGATACCTGCAGGGTTTGTATCTCTCAGTTAATGAACTGATAGCCTCCTTTGGAAATGCAGGGACAAAAAAGGATTTGTGAAGAATTGTTTCTAATCTCAAACAGAAGAGAGCTCAGCACAATCACAAAAGCACCATACCAGACCAATATAAAATACCCATGTGTAGAAATTTTCCTATTAAACAGAAAATGGTTATTTTTCTGTAATGGAAATTTCTGTAGGATATGTCACTTTTTGTTTAGTTTAGGTTTTTTCCAGTCAACAAGGATGTGCATATACAGTGTTAAACACCGTAGTGCCCTGATCCTGATTGGGGCCTCTGGGCACCACTATTACAAAATATTAAACAACAGTAAAACAAATTTAGCTGAATTGAAAAGAAATGTATTCAGAAACAAAATTGATATACAAACTATCTCAACTTGAAGGTAGAAAAATAGAACTGCCTTTCAACATTTTTCCTAAGATAAGTTACTTTTTTATTCAAAACACCACACAATTATGACAAAATCCTCAGGGCTACATCTTACTCTTACTAATAATCAGATGTAATCTAGGAATAGGAAGTAGTTTTCGCTCTTGAAAACATGATGTTTGCATTTATCTGCAAAATACTGCTGCCAGAATCTATGGATAAAGAACTTCTAGGCAGTCACTTCATTTTCCCCTTGAAATTTCAGAAAAGAATCTATGTATTTTAAATCCTTGCACACCTCCTTAGTTGTTTTATTTGCGTGAAACTGACGAGACACCAAAAAAACAAAAACAAAAAAAATTCTACATGAATTTTGTTGCAGGCTTGTGGTACTTTTTTCTACTGTGAAAATGTTGATAATCACAATGAAAAATATAGAGTCCTTGAATACTATGCTGTATCCTTTATAATCATAAAGTGTTATTATATTACAATTTAATAAGCAGATACCTAAGACTTTTGACATTCATCTCAGGATTTACTGAGATAAACAATGTATACTTAAATATGAAGTCGATGTGTGTACGGTAACATATGTTCTGAATGTTTTCGTTACATATTTGGGAATCTCTCCAGATAGCCTAAGTTTGAAATCAGTAACTGTATGTCCTTTTAAAATAACATTTTAAAAAGAGAGATTAGAGCTGTTGGATATGATCAGGATGCCCTCACTTGTGTATTCACTCTGGCTATGTCTAGATTACAGTACAGGGAATGCGTCTGCTCTTCCTACATTTTTTGTGGAAGAGCAGATGCGCTCTTTTGTCATGTCTTCCTCGTGCCATGAGAAAGAAGGGCTCTTCATAAGAGGAGGTTTTTCCGAAATTTGGCCCAGTGTAGATGGGCAAAATTTGGCACAGTGTAGATGGGCCAAATTTCGGAAAAGCCTCTTCTGGCAAAACTATCGGAAAAAAGTATGCAAATTGCAGAGCGCAATTTACGTACCTTTTTCCGATAAAAAGCGGCAGTGTAGATATAGCATGACATGTTAATGTTACTCCAGAAATTGACCTTAGAAAAGTTAAATAATGGAAACTAAACTTACAATTCACATGATTTTTCATTGCCAATCATAAGCTAGGATTTCTTTTGTAATGATACATACATTTCATTATTTTACCAATTGGATGAATTCACTTCCAAATGCATCTCAAGAACTTTCCTTTGCAAGTTAAATTTCTTTTCGTGGGTATATTGCCTTTATATACCTCGTCATCTCTAGCCTGATTCTGGCCTGCATATTTATACCTGCCTCTGGAAATTTCCAATACATGCATCTGACGAAGTGGGTCTTTGCCCATGAAAGCTTATGCTCCAACACTTCGGTTAGTCTATAAGGTGCCACAGGACTCCTCGCCGCTTTTGCAGATTCAGACTAACACGGCTACCCCTCTGATACTTGCCTTTATATGGTGTTTCAAAAGTATTTGTGGAGCAACCCAACAAGACAATCAAATTAGAAGGATGAATTATATATAAGCAAACTACAGTAGTTTGACCAGAAGTTGAGAAAAAGACCATTTCTGTTGAACTATTGTATGTCCAGTTTTGATAATGTAGGTTTTTTAAAATAAAACTTATACATTAATCAGTGTGTCACATATATAGATTCATTTGGTTGCTTTAGGACAGGGGTGGGCAATAAATTTTGGTGGGGGGCCACTCCAAGTCTTGGAAAGTGAGCTGCACTTTTCTGTGGAAGAGGTGCAGGGTCTAGGATGGAGGTTGGGTGCAGGAAGGCACACAGGTTTATGGACTGAGGTGCAGGAGGGGATATGAGGTCTGAGAGGGAGTTGTGACCTGGGTCAAGGGATTGGGGTGTAGGGTCAGGGAGGGAGTATGGGTGCAAGAGAGGATTCTGGCTTGGGGGAAGGGTTCTAGGAGGAGGTTCAAAGTCTGGGAGGGAACTGTGACCTGGGAAGAGGGGTGCAGAGGGTTTGGATGATGACTTGGGGCAGGAGAATGGGATGCAGAGTCTGGGAGGGTGTTTGGGTGCAGGAGAGGATTCTGGCCTGGGAGAGGGATCTCAGAGAGGGTACAGGGTCTGTGAGTTGTGATCTGGGGAAGGGGGGTGCAGAGGGTTTGGATGATGACTTGGGGCAGGAGAATGGGATGCAGAGTCTGGGAGGGTGTTTGGGTGCAGGAGAGGATTCTGGCCTGGGGGAGAGGTATTATAGGGAGTACAGGGGCTGGGAGGGAGTTGTGACCTGGGGCAGCGAGTTGGGGTAGAGGAAGTGCAGGGGTGCCAGAGGCAGGCTTTGGCTGGGAGATGCTTACCTAAGTGTCTCCTGGCGGCCAGCAGCCCTGCTGCACCCCCAAGGCAGGGTAGGCTCCCTGCCTGCTGCACTTTAAACTGCAGGCTGCTAACCTCCACCTGGCTTTCAGCTCTGGGAAGAGGAAGAGGCTTGCGCTGCCCCTGTTCTCCAGGCCAATCTCTCAGCTCCTATTGACTGGTTGTTTCCAGCCAATAGGAGATGAGGATTGGGCTGGAAGCTCACATGAAGCCTCCCCCCTCCCTTCAAAGCAAAGACACACAGAGAGTGCGCTTTAAACAGAAGCAACTGAGGGTCACAGCAGGATGGTCCGTGGGCCAGATCCAGTGACTTGGTGGGCTGGATCTAGCCACTGGACCATATTTTACTCAACCCTGATTTAGGAGATGGTAAAGCCAAATGTATCAAATAAATGTCAAAACTCATTGAAAATGTCAATATATCTTAAAATTGTATGTTGTTAGGTAGAAAATTCTGTACATTTATATAATCTCTTTATCAACTATGTGCAAGTTTCAGTTATGTTGAAGTCCTCAACGGGATTTGACATACTTTATTGTTGAAACAAATGTGACATTAAGGGTATGTCTACACAGCACCCTAAACTCAAAGTAAGATACGCAATTTGCGTGTTTACTGGGATGCCAAAAGAGCGCACCGGTTATTTCGAAAAGTATTTCAAAATAATGGGGGCAGCTTGTGAAGATGCAGGGTAGCTATTTCAGGATATCTCCAATATCCTGAAATAGCCGTATAGTGTAGTAGTACTCTTAGATAAATAAATTATAAAGAAAACCTGCACCTTACATTCCTTATCTTTTGGACTACAGAATAAATGCTAGTCATTTTCAGCACTAAATTAAAAGGTTTTTACCATTTTCATAACACTTTATATAGTCCATAAAAGTGCATGTCTAATAGTTAATAGATAGGATGAGGTACCATATTAATTATAAAATCCCTGCATTACTGATATATTCAGTTTGCTAAAATACGTACTAAAATTAAAGGTAAGATGCAGACATTGTGGTATAAGTTCATTATCTTTGGTAAAATGTTCTCATTTTATTGATAGCCATATCTGCGCTGATACCCATTTTGCACATGGTCTGCTATGACTTATGCCAACAGGAAACATTTAAGTGAATTTAAACAGTGTTAGATTATTCAGTACAATCATGACTCTCATCATACATTCTTTTAGGATGTTGGTAGCACATGGGGAAAATGAGTGAATACTACTATCTACTGTGACTTACTATTGCTTTAACACTGTAAAATAACGTATCTAATTCTTGCCATTAGAAAAAAAATTAAAGGAAGGGATCAACATGATTCTGATAACAGTAAATTCTAAAAATCTGAAGTAAAAATATCACATATTTTGTAGTTTAATACAATTGCTAAAATAGAAATTTACACTGGGGCTTAACTGTAATGCAATACTATGACCCATCTAAGTAATAACAAAAGAGGAACTGAGAAAACCTCAACATATCTCAAGATGTCCAAGGGATGGTCAGTATTAAATGATCACTGCCATTACTAACAACAGAAGGCTCAATTCTTTCATACCGGTGACATCATCAGAAATCCTGCTTTGTAACACCATAATAGAGAGGAAAATCAGATTCTGATATTAATGCAGCACTCTCCAAGAACAGATCACAAATTGTGATGTCACAATGGAGATAGGATGTTCATTATAACTGATCATATTAACAATGTAATCTTGATCATCTGAACATAAGTTAACCATACAAGATAACATTTTCAGATAGCTTTCAATTACACTAAATCAACTTGGATAATCAAAGGTATTTTCAACATCCCTATGACATTCAAAGACTCCAGGTTGTGCTGTATTCACACAAACATACCAAATCACCATAGCTCATGGACAGGGACCCTGCAGCATTCAATTCCGCTACAGAATCAAACCTTTGTATGTACCTTTTACTTATTAAATATTTGATTTAATATTGGAAAACTTTGGAATCATAATTCTAATGAAGAATAAGGACTTATGTTTTTCTACATTCTTTGTTTCAAGTACTTTTTCTACAAAGAGAGAGACTAATGAGCAACAGCAACATATTTTGCTGGTAAAAAACTTGATTCTGTTTTGTAACTCTACTCTCTGAAGCAGTTCCCAGTGGTCATAGTGAAGTCAATGAAATAACTTACATGAGTAGGGTGAAGGATCAGTTCTCTGGTCTTAACGTAAAAACAGTGTCTAACTGCGTCTCGGTTCTTATAGCAATGGAAATAATACATGGGTAACAGTCAAAAAGGAAATAACATTTGATCCAGTATTGACCTTGTGTTATTTTCATTATCCTAATTTCATCAAGAACAAATAGGGATAGCTGAAATTACTGAAGTAACGGAGTCTAATGTTCCAGTCATTCTCAATGAACATGGCACTTTCAAAAACAAAATTTGCAAGTTAAAAAAAAAATTCAGATTTCAAACTCCAAATTATTTAACCTTGATGTCTAAAAAAGGTTTAATGCAAAACTGCCCTTGAAGAGCACAATGATTTTTAAAAAGATTTATTAAAAAAGTGATAAAAATGGAAGATGCAAAAGTGGGGAGAGGAGTAATACATTAATACATGTATTTGCACAAGTGAAAGTCATGCTCTTAATGAGTCATTAAATGACTTCAACACTAATCAGTGATGGTCTTCATCATGTACAAGTGTAGTAAACGACTTCCCACTGTTGCAGTGTCCTTGTATATACAACACACATTAAAGTAACGAATCTTAGGGCCCAATATTCCTAGGGGCTGATCACCCTTAGTTTCCATAGTGAGATCAGACTACCAGTTTAGAACAAAATGTGCTCTCCCCAAATAATTTAGTGGTCAAAGTCTGAAGAATTTGGAGTGTCACTTTTTTGCTTTCTTGGCTTTTTTCAGTATATCACACTTTTTCCTGTTGGGACGCCGACATCTTTCATCAATGCTTGGTATACATTCATAATGCCACACTTCTTCCATTTTTTCCACAGGGTAAACAGCTTCAACATAATGACGGATCAATCTGAGTCTGATGGGATCAAGTTGCTTCTTGTTACAAGCACCTGAATGGTTATATTGCAGTCTGAGATTCTCTGGAGTAAAGAGCTCTGGAAAAAGTCTTACTAGAAGCCTAGCAGCAAAGTTTCCCACAGAAAGGCTCTGCTGTACTATCTCTCTTACCTCTTTATCAGATAGCATGTACATAGAAGGCACAGGGAAGTCTGGAGAAGGAACGACAAGTTCATCAAGTGGTATCTTGCAAAAATCTTTGCTGCTTCTTTCTGGGGGCAGTGGTGGCCCTTCAAACTCTTCTCTGAATCTTTCTGGGTTTATTGCATAGGTAAGAAACTCTCTCCTCTCAGGACCCGGCACATGAACTTTCCGCTGCTGTTGGTATGTGCGTCTCTGCTCGGTGTCCCTGCGTCGACATCTCTCATCAAGCTTCCCAACAAATTCCAACGTCCATACTCTATCATTCTTCGCTCTTGGGTACAATATTTGCACATAGTGTCGAATTAATTTAATCCTGGTTGGATCAAGTTGTTTCTTGCCAAGAGATCCACTACAATTGTATTGCTTCCTTAAATTTTCATTAGTAAACAGTTCAGGAAATAAGTGAACAAGCAATCGAGAGGCAAAGTTTCCTATGGACAGACTACTTTCATATATATTTTTAATTTGTTCCTTGTTCAAAAGGTAATCTGGGATAGGAACATCAAAATCAGGAGTGGGAATGTCAAGTTTATCAAAGTCTATGGGCACAAGCCAAATCTTTTTTGACCTTCTTCCTGGCCTTTCATATTCAAAGCTGTCTTCCACTTTTATGATAGATACATCATCAGGTAAACTAGAAGAATCATAGTCATCTCTCATCTGTTCACAATCACTCCCATCCATGTATATACTTTCAAGTTCATCATTTATTCGCTGGGCACACTGCTGCAACCAGGCCTCCTCTTCCTGCACATCAGGAAAGTAAATTTCTGTATACCTTCGAATTATCTGAAGTCGATGAGGATCCAGCTCTTGCTTCCCAGAATCTCCATAGCAGTTATATCTTTCAGCCAAGTTCCTGTGATCGAAGAGCTCGGGAAACAATCTGTGCAACAAAAACACAGAAAATTCCCCAGGAGATGATGCTTCATCTAAAAATTCATTGAGATCCTGAGCATCCAGAACATAATCTGAGGTTGTGGGGTTATCTCTGTCCAGAGACAAAGCTTCCTCCTGCTCTTTATCCTCAATGAAATGAGAAGACTCTACCTGTTCGGCCTCATAAAAACTGGATGACTGCACACTTTGCTGACTGTTTTCCATTTCTCTTTGTGCCCAAAATCTACTGAAAAAGTCATTAACTTGGGGCAAACACTCCACTTGCCACACAGCATTGTTCTTCACAGAAGGATAACAAACTTCCACATAGTTTCGGATAAGCTGCAGATGAAGTGATTCAAGTTTCTTTTTGTTAAGAAAGCCGCATGTGCTGCAGCTCCTGTTGAACTCATCATCACTGAAGAGCTCTGGGAAAAGCTGAACTAGTAACCGACAAGCCAAATCTCCACCTGAACTGCTCTGATCCATGATCTGTTTAAGTTCTGCAGCAGTCAGCTGATACTCTGGGGGTGGCCTGAACTCTGCTACAGACTCTGTTGGGCTGACATGCTTTTTAATTCTGCTGACCTCAAGAGACAACAGGTCAACCTTGCTGTGAAGCTGAGTCATATTGGAATTCAGGGTGTTTAAGGTGTAAAACATTTTCTGTATCAAAGAATATATGTTTGGATCAGAATCTGCAGTGGAAGCTGTTAAAGCAATAGCAGCACCAGAGTCCCTTTTGCGTTGATCGCTCAAACTCCGCAGATGGGAGGGGCTGCTTGGATTAACCTTTTCAAACAGTTCATAAGAAGAAAATTGCTCTGCCCCTGGTGTGTTCTTCTTTTCTGTAATTTTGTGTGAGATGCCATACAGAGGTTTCTTGTAGGATGAAGTGGTTATGTCATTGAAGGGTTCTTCTTCACACAGCCATGTTATACTGGGATTCTTGTTCTTGTTAGGCTGTTCTATGTTTACCTGAGTGGGTGACCCAGTATCTCGATTCTTCATGTTTGAAATGACGCCCTATGAATGAATAAGCATTGTATTAGTAAGACAGTTTGCTTTAAAAAATAGCTATACATTTGTGCTCCACAGACAGGCACTGTTAAATATGCACTGCCTAATTTTCATCCGTGAATCCAACTCTGTTACAGAAATCAAATTCATAAATGTACTGAAGGAAAACAGTCACCAAACATGCTTTACAGTGAAATATTGTTCTACTTCCTTGATCTTGACCTGTTATCAGATAACTGTACAATTATAATACTTAGCATTTTTACCCAGAGAGCTTTAAATGTTTTACCAATTTAAATATAATTACCTCCCACTTCATGTGTGGCAGAAAGATTGAATGGCAGTATGGCAGTGACAGAGCCAAGAACAAAATTCAGATTTGTCTATCTCCTAATTCTGTGACCTAGCCAATCCTCCCCCAACTGTATTTTCATGTTTCATTACTCTCTCTATACCAACTAAGGAGGACACCGTGGTCCAACAACCTTGACACAGATATATTTAATTTTTTTCTCCTTTTCATCTTAAAAATTTATTCAAGTATTTAAATCCTCCCCACCTCTAGTGGTCCAATTCAGGGACAATTCTATTATACTAACCCAATTTAAAAAACAATACAATTAGTAAAAAGGCCTTTTAAAAATGAAAATGGAATGATCCGTTTCTGAAAGGGTTATAGACATTATAATAATTGAATTCCTCATGGTGCTAAATTAGCTCGCAGTGAACTCTTAAAAATAATTTACAGCATGAGTTCTTAAGCACTGCATTTCCTAACTGTTTCTCATTGTTTGAGTTCTGAAGCAAATGTTTTCATTTATTCACTGTAAATATTTAGCTCATCATTTATTTATTTTTGCAAGCACATGGATATTGTGAATAACTCCTAGATAATTAAGTAGATGAACAACAACAAAGAATTACAATACACAGAACTCAAAAACATGTGAGAACACACAAACACATTTTGAATCTGACCATATTGATTTTCCCAGCTTGCTATACAGAATATTAATTAGACAAAAACACAAAAAACTTGCATTCTAATATTAAAAAGCAATGAAATACAGACTTAAGGGCTGAGGTTAAAAGGGAATGAGCTACTATTACATCCATTCTATGATCAGGTCCTTAAATTATTCATTGTTTCTGAAAAACAATAGTTTAAAAAAATGGCAGCATCTTCTTACTCTGCCAATCTGTTTGCCATGTGTATTCAAACTCATATCTGCTTATCTTAATGACAAAAGTGAATTTATTCTACTTTTTAGTCCTATAAACAATGCAGAGTCCAAACAGATAAGGGAGCTCAAGCTGGGTTCTATTCTAGCTCACCAGAATAAGGTAAATTCTAATTGCAGCTCCACTTCTTGCCCATTTACACAAGTGTAACCCCACTGAAGACATACTGTGTCTTTATGAGCATAATGAAGACCATGATATTGCACAGATGATAAATGAGGGATGTGCTGAGTCCTTATTGCCGGGATGGTACTTGGGAAGCTTGATTTTCAGATCCCAGTTGATTGTGCAGTAGGGTTGCCGACTCTCCTGACAGGATACTATTGCTGCAAATGGCGTCTGGTCAGGACAACTGGCAACCTTATTCTACAGGGATAGCAATTAGAAACATTCTTCTCCAGTTTTACTTGTAAACAAAGTACATTTGAGATGGAATTAATGAGACATGACAAACATGGAGCAACCTCAAAACACTGCTTTCACAGAATCACTTTTCATAGAAGTACTCCTGATAAGTGGGAAGATGTACCCTAAGAAAAGCATCTGTTATAGGATTCAGTAATACTAAAGAATTAAGAACAGGAATCTCTAGCTTTTGTTTAAAAAAAAAATCAGCATTATAAAGGTATTTGAACATATGGTGAAATCTGCTCTTACGTGGTAACCTTGTATCTTCAGGTTTAATAATCCTCATAAAAAGAGCACCCACCATTTGGCACCATCTTTGTTAGAAGGCTTGTTATGATAACCAACTCATTTGTTAGTCCTTTTCAGGTTTTACTATAAGTTTTTTTCTGTTTAATTAAGCAATAAAACATGATAATCTAAGGGTAGTCCTGATTAATGCTCAGTTTGAAGTGAAGATGCAGGAACACCACAGTACCTGGGAAGTGTATTAATCAGCATGGAGTGATCATCTAAATTGCCTTATTGCACTTCTAAAACAAACACATAAAAGTTAACATTCTTAGGGATGGAAGGGGCCCTTTGGAAAAAAAGAAGTGCTTACGCTGAGAATTATGGCAGATCTCTGTATGTTGTAAGGGCAGCAGAACTTCTGCCCTTTCACTAATGCAGCTCACGATGTTTGGATCTGGTTGTGATAGGAATTTGCAGATCTGCATTTCAGAAACACACGGTCAGTGTTCAGCTAACAGCTAGTGCCACATCTGGGGCTAGATTTAAGCATTTTCTGTTAATTTGGGATACTGTGTTTTGCCTTTAAAACATTCTCCTTACCCCCAGTAATAATCCTGGCACTCTACAGATTATATTGCCAGCTGGGTTTACCATCATCTGAAACATACATAGAGTATTTTTGGCAAAATTTCAGAATAATCTATTGTGGAACATTCTTTTGTATTGTCCATAAGGACCTTGGACTTTTAAGCATGTATGTAATTCAGATAATGCTATACACAGTTAAAAAGATTATCAGTACTACTAAAAATTAAAAGACAGATTGTTTTGTACAAGTTAGAGGCACATAATATCATGCTGCCTACATGGTCAAAGAAAGCTACCTGTATTACATGTTGTTGCTGAGTTTTTATGAAATGTAGCGTTTTGCTATTGTGAAATAATCTTGCACATTATATCTGAGGACCATAGGTGCAGATTTTAAAAAGCATATAGGTTTTCTTCCATTCAGCATTGCAAGTTTTAAGGCCCATTTTCAAAAGTGGCTCAAGCATTTATGAGCCCAAATTTCACTAATATACTCAAAGCATTTAACAGTTTGACTTTAGCCTCCCATGGGTTCTGTTAGAACTTCAGACTAAGATTGTGGCTGGTTATTTATTCTAAACATGCTGATTCAGCACTAGTCAATTGAGAATAAATTTTAAAAATAACTAATAGTTCTGCAGCATCTTAGGAACTAACAAAAAATGTAAATGGTATCATGAGCTTTCGTGGGCACAACCCATTAACTGAGTCAGTTTCTGGCCTCATTGTCAATCCAAGGCTATCAACTTCAAATAACTTATGGATCTACACTGGTTTCACTGATATCAGAATCTCTCCCACTGTACATAAATCTGGAAATATTACAACCCTTGTCTGACAGTTAGGTTCACCCATGGGATTTGACTACAGGACTGAGGCCTAAATTTCTAATGAAAATATTTAAAAAAACCTTTATTCTAAGGACATGAGAGGAGGGCTATGAACACAATCAGATTTAGTCTCAGAGGAGTAGCCATGTTAGATTGTTACTTTAAAAAACATGAGTAGTCCTGTAGCACCCTAGAGAATATATATATATATATATAGCATCATGAGATTTCGTGGGCAAAACCCACTTCCTCAGATGAGCAGAGTCATGATACTACATATATATGTCAGTCTCTAAGGTGCTAAGGACTACTCATTTTTAATCAGATTTAGTTAAGCCAAACCAGTTTGAGAATTCCATATGTATATGCATTATTAGAAACAAATAATTGCTTCAGTTAAAAAAGTCATGGTTAAAATCATACTGTAAAATGAAATACTTCACACATTTAAAAATATCCAGATAAGAAGTGTGGGTAAACAAGACAAAGATTTCTTACTGTAAATAAATTAATTGCTTGTATGAATTTATTAAAAAAAGAGCTGTGCTATGCTTATGCCAGAAGTAAATTTAGCCCATAAAATCTGAACAGTGCCTCATGTATATAACCACATGTAGAAAAATCACCTCTTGGGTAAAGCGTCTTTTCTTCACACTAGGTAGAACCTCTTGTTGGATCCCTGAACCATCACAACCAAGTGAGGTCTGTTTCCGTTTGCTGGAATCCTGTAGACAAGTAACTGAGCCATCCAATGAGTGTTTCTCAGGAGATCTAGATGTCACAGAGCAGTCTAGTGCTTCATCTTCATTTTCTGTTTCTATTTTCACAAAATTATTTTTTATAATTTTAACTAGAAAAAGAGAAGGTTTAGAATGATCAAACACTTTCTCCAGAAATGATATCCTTATAACAATATACTTTGTTTGTTCTTTTGAAACTGTCTTTCGAACATCATAATTATTATTTATCATTATATCAGGGTGGGCAAAGGGGCCTCCGTGGGCCAGATCTGGCCCACCTAGCCAGTGGATCCAACCCGCAGCTGCCCTGCGACTCCCTCAACCCCAGTCCAATCAAGACCTGGGGATAGAGGAGTGTGTGAAGTCTACCTCCCTCCCCCACCGAGGATGCTCGGCCGCTAGAGAGAAACGCCGACTGTTTTAAAACAGCCTACATTTCTTTCTAGTTGCCGTGTGCCCCCGGAAGGGCAGGAGCCAAGAGACTTCGATTGGCCCGACTGGCCTTGGGGAGACCACTCCCCCACCCCTAGGCCAATCAGGGTCTGTGTGGGGAGGGAGAATCATGAAAAGTTTCCTGGCCCCGCCCCTTCTGCTCAAGGCCCTGTCCCTTCTGGGGCAGGCTGGGGCCAATTCATAAATGGCTCTTTTAAAAAAATCCCCTCCCCCCACGCCAATATTATATAACGGACAGCACCTTGAAGTCTCACTCGGGGGGCACCATTGTGGTAGGAACCGTACAAATATATAGTAATGATAGTTCTTGAATCAAAAAGCTTATATTCTAAGATAAACACATAACAGGTGAGCAGAAGGTACAATAAGCAGGAGAGGGAGATGGATGATGGCTAACAAAATACGTTTTAGTAGCTAAGGTATTTTTCATCTAAACAAAGTTTTTAAAGAACTAGTGTTTTAATCAGACTAGAAAACAAACAAAATATAGCATTTTACCTTCATCATCATCATTGAATTCAGCTGAGTTCATCTTCTAGCCCACTTTAAAAAAAATAAAGACAACATCAGTAATTTTCTAGACAGAGTAAGTGTTACATTTTCAGTCTTTTGTTAAAAAATGTTCAGAAACTTCTTATCTACTCCCATTTGCTGTCCTTGGACAATATTAACAGTCCTTGGTCAATATCCCATCTTCTCCATTTTTATTCACATTATAGCAGGCAGGCAGCTTTTCTTAAGTGTTTCCTGGACAGCTGCAGATCTGCCCAGCAATGTAAATTGAACAGCAAACTACTTGGGATGGCCAGAAAAGAAAGAGGATTTAACACTGAAGAATATTAGTTCAGTAGTTTTAATTTTCTATAGAAGCAGAAATCTTTGTAAAGTGCAAATGAAACTTCACTGTATGTTTTTTTCAATCACTGTATTAAATGGCCACCTGTTTTAAGAGCCAAAGATATGTTCTAGTCCATTATCAAGTTCCATTGTAGGTCAATTTTTGGTGTACGTCACAAGTTTAAAAATGCAACACAAACTATATTATAACTAAAGGTTAGCTTAGATGACATTTTTGGTCTTCCCCTATATGCCATGGCTGTCTGAATAAATTTGCAATAAAATTTGCCACTTTGATGTGGATTGTGGTATTGAAGAACCAGCAACCTACCCCATTTGGTACATTAACAAATGTTTTATAATTGTTAACTGGTGGCTTCCAAACAGCATCAGAATGCTTTTTTACAGGAAAAACAAAACATTTTAACTGTTTCAAAATGATTTAATATTAGTACTCATGGCAAAATTGCCACATTTTCCCCTTTCCCTGAACCTAGCATGACAGGTCATTTGTGAAACTCCAAATTCTGAGCATGTTTCAAAAGAGAGCTTCAGACTCCAGTGAGGACAGATGAACAAGCATCCTCACTCAGCTCTCACTAGCCATACAGAAGTACACATCCATCAACAGTGGCAACCACAATTGGATACCTTTTAAATCAGCCATACATAGTCTAAATTATTCAGATATATGTCTAGCCTCACTGGTTCACTGAACCCAGAGAAATGTATTTGAAATACATAAATACTTCCATAACTGCATGACTTTTCCAGACAGATTTCTTTCTCCAAATCATACCCTTCTTTTGCTAAAACACTGTATAGGTCACCCAAACCCAGAGATTTTCTGGTTAAAACACACTGACCCATGGTTGTGCACACACACACACATTTATGTTCCATGTATATGCCTTAATTCAACAAGTGCATTTTATGCATTTAGGCAAGGGCTATACAATCATATCTGAAAAATCCTGAAAGAACAGTACTGTGGCCTGTGCTCTAGGAGAAAGTTAAACTATACTGAATTTGCTTTAATATCCCATATACAATGACATTCAACTTCCAGGCCAGTAACTATTACATTTCATTTAACTGTAGTAGGTATGGGTTGGGGGAGAGGGGGACACAGCCCACTGACAAAAATATGGGAGCGACCAAGAAGATGAGAACTGAATGTAGTTCATGGAAATTTCGTATATTCTGGAAAGCCCAAGGCCCAACTAGCTAACCAAGCAGACATCCTTACAACAATCACATGCCATATGGAAGTCATAGATTTTTTTAAAGTGTTTTAGGCAGCTCCTTGGGGAAGCACTTGTCAGGGATTGTGCTGATGGAGAGAAGTAGCAAACATGGAGCCAAAACCAGAAAAGAATTGACAGACATAAATATACATAAAGTAAAAAAAGATAATAAAATCAGTGTATGGACTCCTTTTGTATGGTGAGACATGGAATAATATTTTTCTTCCGTCACTTCTGTTCAAACAACAGACAGAACACCTTGGGGAAAGTCTCTCCAACAGGAGACAAGTGGGTTGGAAGCAAGAGTTACATGAGGGCCTGAGAATCACAGTTGGAACTGGGAAGTTAGAGAGAGGGTAAGTAATAGGAACAGTTTCAGAGCCTCTCTTTGACAATTCTGAACCTGATAGCAAGAGGGAAATGGCTAGGGAAAAAGATAAAAACCAACAGAATCAAGGAAAAAATGGTACCAGTAATCAAATTGAGAAATCCATCTCAGAAAGTAAGTGCGCTCCTTGCTGTTTTTCATTGCACTGAGTGTATTGAAGGGGCTGAATGATCGCCTGATCTGTCCTGTTTCAAAATAAAATTAAATCTCTCTCCCTCACCCTTTTGTCTCTAAACTAGTAACTAGTTCTAGAAAAGAACAAACAGATTCAAGGCAGAAACACTAGTGATGAAGTAATTATGTAATGTGGCCTGGGAATTTGGGTTTGTAGCCATGACTACCAGAGTAGGAAACTCAGGGGCATCTACTCCAAGCTACAGTATCTTACTGGGAAAAGGATCAGAGCTGCAGCCTGTGTTCTCGTTTCCCAGGAAACTGGGTTTGGGAGCCTGATAGACCATAGCCATTTTGCATACCAAATACCCACAACAAGAAAACTACACTCTACACTAATGGCCCAATCCTGCTTCTACTAAAATCAACAGTTTTACCTAGACACCAGTGGAATCAGGATTTAGATGAAATTGCTTGTTAAATGTAAAGTGCAATTACCTAACCATTTTGAGTTATTTACCATCCCAAAGACAAAAAGCCTATTTCTTAAACTAGTAAACTTCAATTTGTATGGTTTTTGTTTGAATACATTTTAAACAATAACTTGGTTCAGGCATTGCAAATGTTTGCTGATGGTTAAAACACATTTAATTCTGGGTTTATACATTAGGTGCAATGATTTGTTCTGGAGGACTTTTGTGAATTATTTATGACTATAAATAAGCCTATAATAGAAATACAAAACACAATATTACCCAAAGAATCGACTATCAGCATAAAGAAAATTACTCAGAAAAACAATCAGCTTTCAACTGTGACTGTGAATTTGCAAGCTGAAAATTAAGCAAGTATGCCCTACTCTTGATTTTTCCTCAAATTCAAACCCAAAAATATTAACGTCACCTGTATTTTTGTTTCTACTGGTGTTCCTAGCTCAAGTTAGCCATCCACAGAAACTCAAAAAGGTGCAAATATTCAGATAGATTCAGTGTTTAAGGAAGAAGGGACAGAGCAGTCTCACCATTTGCAGCAGACTATATGCCCAGGATGAAAGCAGTAAGTCATTGAAAAGGATTTCCTACTGCTTGTAACAGTACCTTGTTTGAAAAGCGTTGCAGCATTTACTTTAATGTAATCAATGCTGAACTCATAAAAAGAACGAAACATTTTACAAATGTTATAGCACGACCACACTTTTACAACTAACATAACACCTCTCTTAGCATAGTGTTGGTGAAGATGTAAAGTAAGTATACTGCTTTGCTCTGTTCCTGAGATGCCGGTGTGTAGGAATTCACATGCAAAGAGAACAACATTCCCTTTTACTAAGTCTTCAAGACTAAGACATTCTTTTCAGAAATCTAAAAATTATGAAGTCTTAGCCATGATAGTAAAAGAAAGTTTCCATTTTTATGACTGAAACAGTCTATAGTCATCTAGGCAGTTTTATCCATTTGTCTAAGGAAAAGAAATTCTTGAATCTGAAGCACTGATATGAATCAGAGCTTTTCAAACTAGTCTGTGAAGCACTTGTACACAGAAATGGTTTGATCTGGGTCTCCTTGCTTCCAGATGCTAAACTGTAGTAAAATAAGTTTCATTTACATTAAGTACCTTCCTGTGTAAAAAATATGTCTCTGTAGTGTAATGCAGCTGATCTATGGGACTAAAATATATTTAGAATTTGCTTTGCTATTTGCTCCCCAAAAGAGAAACTATGCAATCAAGTGGGTCATAAGACAAGTTATTAAGATGTCTATTCTATGAAAAATGTCAGAAATAAGCATAAGTATCAACGTAATGTCAAACTGTTGAGTGTTGCTCATAAAATATTACAGGGGAGCAATAGCAAAGCAAGTTCTGAATGTATTTTAGCCCCATAGCGTAAACTGCATAACAATCAAGAAGACATATTCTCTCTTATTTGGTACTTTCAATTTTATGAAAAAATAAGCCTCTGAACAGAAATTGCTTACACTTATTATTAAAATCATGGAATTTACAGATATAAAAAACCTATTCTTGATGCCTATATATCTGCTTCTCCAATGAGCGTCTTCACACCTTCATCTGTAATTATGCTACACCACTATCTCAAACACTTCCTTCACATTTCCTCATGACCATTTAATATGCAACTATTTAAAGATGCATATATGCAGTTTATCCATCAGGATAGTCAAGCCTAACCTGAATAATCATGTGGTCATACTGTAGCTCCTTACACCAGTGTTTGCTGTCACCATGTGTAAGTACTTCACAGCAATGACCTGTACTGTAAAATGCCTAACGTATTTGAGGGTATTGTAAAACTAGTAATGACAACCATCTGTAAAGTCACATAGAACATGCTCATGCCAATACAAGATCAAAATTGTTTTCTGACATGGAATTCATTCTGTAGGAATTCTTTAGTGTGTGGCAGACCCATACGGGATCTGAGTTTACATATAACAATCATTTATTCTGCCAATTGAAAACATCATCTGTATCCATACTAATATATACAAAACTTCATGTTTCTAGTTTTTTAGAAAATGGTTTGATATTGATGATAATAATCCTTACATCTGACTGCATTGTTTAGCTCAAAAATGCATGTTAAGAACTAGGGATGTAAAACCCTGTTTAATTTGTTAAGTAGTTAAACACAATATTTAACCGGTTAATCAATTAAAGGGGGGACAGAAAAGCCTGGCTGGAGTGGCCCCTATCCATGACAGGCCCCTGCCCACCATCCACTGAAGCTGATATTTACCGGTTAATCTTTCACAACCCTATAATAAGAACATGTTTTTCTTCAATGAAGATCATACCACAAACATTTGAATAATATCATTAGCAGCTGATAAATCCATATTAACTGTAAAAACAATATATAAAAATCCTTGTATTTGTGCCTCTGATGGTCTTATGGTGGTACACTGCTTTGTGCCTGACACTGAAGGCTATCAGAAGTATTATATCTCTGATTTTAGGTTCACTTGCATCTGAAAAAATAAGAGGATCAATCTGTTTAATCAAAGGGTGGGATGTACCAGTATATTTCACTGGTAATAAGGATTACTGAAAAATATTTTTAAAAATTATCCACCTTGTTTTAAGCAGAGAAGGGAGAAAACATTTTCTTTTAAAAGGATCAGATAGAGCACTGGGACCTAATTAATGGTTGGAGTAGCTGATGGCCTAAGGAGATGCCACTGTTTAGATTCCACAGATCTCATATACTGTACTATAGAATTTTTGTTTCCCTCCTTTACTCCCACTTGCTGTTTTATCAGAACATCACAAGAAGAGTGCTGTACTAGGTATTTATTTTATAGGACTGACACCTGGTACACCAGCAAACCAAAATTCTTGTGTAAATATTAATGTTCAGTGAGGGTTAATGTTTATATTGCAGCTGTATGAAAACTTTTGTGTATGTACAAGGACCCTGTTTATTTAGTTTAAATCTGTTGCTTTTCTGCCAAGATTGTATGAATCAGAACATGCACTTAAAATGCAAAACTTCGCTTCATTGGAAGATTAATAATTTCCTTTGATACTTTATCTTACCTTCTGTTTAAAAAGACTGCTAGTTTACCCCCCTCTTCTTCTAGCTATACATAGAAAGCAAAGTTACTGTTACAATTAACCTGCAGATAAATTTCAAATATGGGTTATTCATTAAAGGCCAAGTTCTTCAACTTCTCTAAATAGTTGTGGCTCAGCTGAAGTCAATAAAGAAAGCTGGTCCTCCTAAATGTTAAATTCTTACTCTACTGAAAACAGCCAGAGCTTACGCTGTTGATTTCCATGGAATCTTAGTTTGTCCATAAGCATTTTAATATTTCCTTAAATAAAAACCTACTATGAACAGATCTCTTCTGATCCTGAGTAGTCCTGTGGCACTTTAGAGACTAACAAATATATATTATAGCATCATGAACTTTCGTGAGCAAAACCCACTTCCTCAGATGAGACTGAGTGAGCTCAAGCTCATCTGAGGAAGTGGGTTTTGCTCACGAAAGCTCATGATATTTATATATATTTTTGTTAAGTCTCTAACATACCACAAGACTATTTGTTGTTTTTAAAGTTTCAGACTAATATGGCTATACCCCTTTAAGACTTCTGATTTTGAGAATTTCAATTCCTATAAACCAGTGTTTCTCAAAGTGGTCCACAAAACCACTAAGAGAAACCTGCTAACTGGCTGCACTGGCTCCTATTGTCTCTGTTTGCAGACAAGGGGAGCCGTGGGAAGCATCATGGGCTGGCTCCCCTTGGGCTGTAAATGGTGAAACAGAGCCAACAGGAGCTGTAAAGCTCTGTGGTCGCGGTGCCAGTAAGTAAACAAACTGACACAACCAGTTAACAGTTTTCTCGAAGTGGTTTTGTGGACCACTTTGAGAAACACAGCTATAAACATTCCTCTACTGTTGGAAACTCGAAACAAAACAGCATTGCAATTGTCTGCGTGACACCCAACATAATAATTTGACTGCAAAGGGTTATTGTCAGCATATTACACTTCTTGATGAAATGTCTTTATTTGTTAATGTTATAAATTAAAATGATTATATCAAAAGGAAACAAAAGAAATCCAGTCTATTTGCTTTGTACATTTGACAGCACTTTGTATATAGTCAGTTTCCCCTGAAGTTGTGTTGGTCTTTTTTGGTGGAGGAGAACATCCCCTCCTATGTTGGGAAATGTTATTGTAAAATTACTTAACAAGGGAAGGGATTTCAAGGGCAGGTCTGGCACCTGAAGCTACTAGTTTTATTAAAGATGAATGTAAAGATTTTTAGTTGAAACAAATGTGAAATAAATCAGTATAGCTTCACTGCCAAAGCTGAGCAAACTGTAAACAACATAAAAGTACGCAAAAACAGATGTTTACAGTTCCATCACTTTTAATAATAAAACTGCTGTTAATAATCCAATGCTGGATTATTCTGAACATCTAAAAGTACTAAAAATTAAACATCTTGAACAACATATTGCATATTACAAACTTATTTCAATATTATAACATTAAGCTCATTATAAATGCTTTTAATTCACAGCCTCTTTTGTCTTTAAAACTTAGGAGACAAAAATCAAAAGTGTTACCCTCATGGACAAAAAGTGTCCTAATATTTTATGCAGATTAAAAGCCTCCTTTGCTCTCCTGTGGTATATGGCAGCCTCACTGCTCCAAAGAAGCTTGTCTCTAATGGTGGCATCTTGCCAATAGGACTTATAGGGTATGCTCTCAATTTGTTTTTATTTTTAGTTACATCTACAGATGAAGTTAAAAAAAAGTTGGTCTCTCAAACAGTGAAATTTTTCCCACAAGTCGCTCTTAAGCTATAACGGTCATTGCTTGTTCCTAAAATGTTGTCAAATGACAACTTCATCTTCTAGTGCTTAGACATATTTATGTTTGGCAACATGTTAACCACAATTTGGCTTTTCACTTAAGTGGTCTTTTTCTGAGAAAAGCAGCAAGTTTTTTAGACAATGTCTCTCCAATTTTATTCAAATCTCTCTCTCTCAAACCTCAGTGTTCCTGCTTCCTTGAAAAAAGGACCTGTGGTAGCTTCTTCAAACTATATTTAACTGTTGGTTTGTACCCACTTGACTTGCCTTCACTATCAAAATGACCTGTTGCTGACATGAGGTAAACAGGTGGGGCAGTTCTCAACATAGTTTAATTAGGTAAGAACAAATGATTTTCAGCACCACATTTGAACAGAATAACTGACCCTTTGGGCACTACCTGCATCAGAAAGTCTCCAAAAATGTACTGGGCATTTTACTCTACTTTAAAAAAATCTTGGTTTAAATGTTTAAAACCAAGATATTTGTGTAATATATATATGAAAAAAATATACATGTACATTGCACAACAGCTATTTGTTAGCACATATTTACTCAGGCAAATTAAGAATCAACTGTCCAGACTCAGCAGGTAGGCCAGGCACTAACTAGGTGGATGCATGCAGAAGAAAGGGAAAAAAATAAATCATTTCCTCCAGTCCTTATTTCTTCACCACAAAAGAATTAGAGGGGAGAAGAAGAGGGTGATCCATGCAGTAGCCGATCCTGAATTGGACCTTTTAAAATAATTACCAGAAATCCCCAACTATTTTTATCTTGTTAAATGTAGCTGTTTAATTTATTGCAGGCACTACCTTAGAAATGGGTCCTGAGCTGAAAAACTAGCAATCCTGGTCGATACTTAACATCTATATTTACATAAACTCCACACTGAGGGGTGTAAAAAAAGCCACACATCCCAGCCTACCTACAGCACCCTAACCCTCATGCAGAGGCAGCAAAATCAGTGGAATAACTTTCCTGTCAGGGACACAGCTACCATCGGTCTGGGATGGGAGCTCCTAGAACGACAGAAAAGCCCTTCCATCGCTATAGGCTGCATCCGCACCGGGGGGCTTTGCTGGCACATGCGCCGCAGCGCGAAATCGGGATTGAGCCTCCGCTGTAGTTGGGCTGCGCCTTAATTGCATCCGCAGGTCCCCATAGGGAGCAGCACCGGGCACACCGCACGGGCTGGCAGCTCGGATCACCGGTGCCCGGCGGTGGGACTTGTGCTGCCTTGGAGCTGGGCGGGGATCGGGGCCGCACCGGGGGGCTTTGCTGGCACATGCGCCGCAGCGCGAAATCGGGATTGAGCCTCCGCTGTAGTTGGGCTGCGCCTTAATTGCATCCGCAGGTCCCCATAGGGAGCAGCACCGGGCACACCGCACGGGCTGGCAGCTCGGATCACCGGTGCCCGGCGGTGGGACTTGTGCTGCCTTGGAGCTGGGCGGGGATCGGGGCCCATCGCTCCCTGCGGACTAGGCAGGCGGGGGGGGGGGGCGGGGGGGCCGCGGGGGGG